TAAACAAGCAGAAATACCCGGGAGGTACGCAGAGTCCCAATGCTTCAAAAATGCATGTATTAGGGCATTACAACCTCAGCAAAGAGATTTTATAACTCTAAAAGCTCAACCATGGAGAAGATAAACAAGCTATTCAGCCGCCCTGTACTAAAACTTGTTAAAATGCCTGTGGAGCTTTAACTGGATAGAGCCACCAAAATGGTCAAGGGTTAAATTGGAAAATGTTCCTCCAAAAATGCCTCAGCCAATCAAACACAAGCATTTTTGCCACTGTCACAAAGCTGCCCATTGCCTCTGCTGGCCTCAGTACGGCTCAAGGGAGGCATCGCCCTTCACCACCTGACTGAGGAACAGCGAAGGCCGTGCTACCTGACAGCTATGGTGGAATGAAACTTCTCTCTCCACCCTAACACCCTGATAATACTTATCACAATTATTGCATCCTGTATGTACTTGCTTTGGTTATTTGTAAAGCTTTTTCTATTTCATCTTCAAATGATCCCTAAATTTTAGCAACTGCCCCTCTGCTGCTCTGCATTCACAATAGTGCCTTTCCAAAGGCCATGAATATTAATATTTTTCTAAGTTAATGAATCCCCATAAAATCTGAATCCACACATATAAATACTGTACATTTGAAAGAAAGGTGAAAATTAAGGAAGGACTGTCAGCTGAGGAATGAGTTTATCAGAGTTCTTAAAATTCAACAAGAAAGTCCAGAAGTCAGGGTTCTAAATGTTTGTTCATCTCTTGACAAACCATTAATTCCTTAAGAACAGTTAATCACCAGCAACATTCTAGTCTTTAGACATTCACACCTTTGTTCACTGGAAGCCAAGGTGAGACCATGACAGTGCCAGGAGAGCAGCTGGGCCGGGAAGGCGTGTGAAGAGCCAGTGGAAAAGTAGAAACGGGGAAAGCTTGGCGTTCAGGAATGTGGACCTCAGCCACTGGATACCTTACCAATCACCAATTTGTATTTCATTTATCTTCACATTTAAATTTAAAAATATAGTTGCTGCTATGGAACTCTGGCCTGCTTTTCAGGCCAGTAAACTCTTATTTAAGAACTCTCGTAGCTAATGCAGTTTATTGCTGGATTTTAGTGACAATTTTTATAAAGATGTGTGAGGTAATTCGACAAAATTACTATTATGTATCAAGCATTTTGCAGAAGGTCTGGGTCAATGTAAGAAGAACTAAATGTACGATCTGTTGGCACAGTTGTCATTTAAAGACAAAATGTAATTTAATACCAGATAAAGGTGAAAGCACAAGTCAGATCATTGGGGGAGAATTTAGCCCATGCATCTGTCTGTCTCCTAGTTTGTGCTGGTAGGAACTATGCAAACTTCTCTGTCCCTTCTCTTTGTTTTAAGCACTAGGACTGTTAATGCCCTTTACCCCCATTTTTCATTAGTGTTGCCCAAGTTCTAATAACTGTACTGCCAAGGGGCTAAGGGCAAAAATAAACAAAGAAATAAATATAGTTCAAGTTAAAAACTTTGCAGCCTTGGCAAAAGAGGGGAAAGATTCTGTCTATTTAGCAATCTGTATGATTCCTAAAATTTTACCCATGCTAACTATGGCTGTCTCCTCATTAGTAAAAAGTGGGTAAATTTAAGTAGCTCAGCATAACTAGCCTCCATAGGCTACCAAAAGGTTGAAATCAAATATAATGACTTATTGGGCAGCTACTTTTCAGCTACCTGCTCATAGTATCAAAGAGAGTTACTATGGAACTCGCAGAGTAAATTTCCCCGAAACCACATGAGGAGACTGAGTCAGATTTGCTTTGCTTATCTCCAAGGTCTCAATCAACTAACAAATGTTTACCCAACTGCTCAAAATATTTGCACCAATAGTTTTGATATATCCAAGCATAGTTTACACATTACTAACCTATTCCCTTCAGTCTTCTGGATGTGTTTCTTCCCGAATCTACCAGATCCTTAAATAACTTTAGGAACCTTCTCGAGAGTTAAACAATGCTCCCATTGACATCAACTTTGTCTCCAAATGAGAAAGACCATCTGACATTGTAAATACCCACTGACAACCTGTAATACAATGTTAGAACTATTCATCTACGGAAGCATTCCCCAAGAATCAATCACATGTGTCTACCAGAGTCAAGAGGAGAATATTCATTATCATGTCTACTGTCTTTATGGCTTGTAAGAGCAGTTCATTATGATTTTGCAAACTGAGACCCAAGTAACCTGAGTGATTTAGGTGCTCTTCATTACCAAACCCCACCAGGTCAACAAGCCAAACGCAAGTGTGGGACTTTCCCTACACTAAAGGACAGAAATTCAAGAAATGGTTTCCTGATTCTGTTAAAATAATCTAAGAGTTTTGTGGTAAGTACTTGAGGGTGGATAGTGTGGCTTGCCAATAAAGTTACACTCAAATGTCTCCAAGGAACCACGCTCTCAAACTAATAATAATCAGTAATCAGAGCACTCAAAATAAAATCACCAAATGCCAGTTTACACCCACTAGATTGGCAAAACGTTTAAAGTGTGACAAAACCAAGTTCTAGCTAAGACATATACTGTTAATGAGAGTCTAAATTGCTATATATACTTGGAAAACAAGTTCACATTATCTTGATGTTACAAATAACGATGACCCAGAAATTTCACTCCAAGGCATTTACCCTAGAGAAACTGTTGAACTTGTGCTCTGAAGACATGTACAAACATGATCACGGCAGCATTGCTCTTCCTAGCAGATACTGGGGACATCTCAAAGGTCCATCAAGAAAGGGATTTAAAAGGGGTGTGGAGCTGTGGAGTGGTAATACAATGGAGTAGCAAGCAGCTGTTAAAATAAAGAAACTATAATTAAACATAAAGCTACATTTCAAAAGTATGATGTTGAAAGAAAAAAAAAGTCAAAATAATACACATTTTTATAAATTCTTAAAACATGCAGTACCAAATACACATTTTTTTAGGGAAGCATTCCTATGAAGCAAAAGAATTTTAGAAGGCAAAGGGGTGATAAATATAAAATTCAGAAGAGTGGTTACCTCTGATGGCAAGAAAGGGAGGACACCGTATTGGGGAGAAAGATAGAATCCAGCAGTAGAGGCAGCCTTCATTTCTTTCGCCACGGTGTGCTTTGTTTCTGCATGCTTTCCACATGTTACACAGTGTGCCCTTCTGTGTTCATGAGACAGCCCTCAACATGTTTTCAACAGAGTATCTGGGTAGAAAATAGAACAGAGTGGGATGGGGACCTATTGCTTTTATTCAGAAGCTGTTGTACCCTACTTTTAAAAGCAGGCCCCTTTTACATCCACATAAACAAGCCAGGCTTTAAAAAGCTGCCTCCCCAGATGTGTGTTATGTTGGGGTTGGGGGTTGGGGCACTCTTGCAGGCCCTGAAATGAACCGATCTCCTTTATGTATTCGCTCCCATTTGTATGGAAACATCTTTCAGCATATATGCATCCTGCAGGATGCAAAGAAAATTCCTGGGTAGATTTAGAAGAATCTACAGCAGTCATCTCTGACCAGTAGACCCCGTTCTCATTTGATTATATAATCTATTGTCCTTTTAACTTTACTTTTTAGATTATTGTGCATTTATTTATTTTACGATATGACCTTTACGTTTCTAATTAAATGATTTTTTAATGAAGTCGGGAGGTGGGAGGAGAAGATGAAAGAAAGGGGGGTCCTGGGGACGCACCGCCCCTGCAGCCACCGGGCTCGGAGCTGACCCGCCTCCAG